AATATAAATAAGTTATAAAACAAATAATAATCCTAGAGAAACTAATTTAAAATATAAATAAGTTATAAAACAAATAATAATCCTAGAGAAACTAATTTAAAATATAAATAAGTTATAAAACAAATAAATTCTTAATTTAATTAATATACAACTAGTGATATACTATTTATATAATATCTGAAAAATTTTAGCGTATAGTATGTACAGTACATATAGTACATACTGTATATATAGTTCTTTTTTTGGCATCTGATTGGCTGGAACAAGTGATCAGCAAAAATTTTAGTATACAGTACGTATAGTACTGTACGTAGCACATCATTACACACAACATAGTCTAAATAATTAACCATAGCTATTGCAACAAAATTGTTATAGCAGATACTTGATTTTGATTGGCTAAGAAAAATTAGCCCATAATTACTTATAATTTACTAATATAATCACTAATTTTACTATAATGTAGGCATATTTTTTAAAATTATCCAAGAAAAAAATTAAAAAGTTAATTCTGGCCAGAAATTAGTAAGCAATTATTTAATGCAGGCCAAAATTTTGATAATCCTCAGCCATAAGCCAATCAAAATTGAGAATCTGCCTATTTTTTTGTATATGTAGATTGGCGAATATCATGCAGAAAAAAAATTTTGTAGTATTTTCTTATTTGTCACACAGATATTTGCAAGATAAATTAAAAAATTGACACTATTTAGTAGAATTGTTATCAGCTTGCTTTTTCTTTTATAATTAATTAAATTTATGAGTTCTATGTTTAATTATTAAATTTCTAATTGATATTTGATAAATTTTTTTTATTAATACATTTAGCTATTGTAACTAAGTAAATGATTTATATGAGTTATTTTTTAAGTGAAGTTGAAGGTGTTTTACTGATAGCCTTCATTAAATATTCTTGTGCTTTTGTTTTAAAAGGTTCTGCTTCATTTATATTTATTTGATCTGCTATTTTATAAATTTTTTTAATCACTTTCAAGTTTATTCAAAAAATGTTCTAAATATAAATCAAATATAAAATAATTAGGTAGTGTATTACACACAGATATCTATACAATAGCTAGCTATAACATATTATTAGAAAAAAATAGAAAGACTTTTGCATCTTATTATTATTAATATTAGCCTCAACTTATAAATATATTTCTAATACACTTGCTAAATCATGATTTGTATGTATGATTGGGATTGAAATGAGATCAAAGCTTTGATAAATAATAAAATGTATCTTGGTTTCTTTATATATTTGGTATATTATAAAATAAATTTTCTCATCTAAATTAATAAAAAAACATTATAATATGTCACTAGATTATACAATTTATGGAGTTTTATATACCAGATGAAAATAATCTGATCCAATGCATCTCAGAAAATATTTTTTTTAGTTTATCTGCATTTTTTGACCCAGTATAAAATAAAGCTATTCGCAGCATTATTAAGCATTCTGTATAGTTTATTATAATCTCCATATTGAGAAATATACAGACATTTTGCTTCACAAATGAGAAAGTACAATTTTATATCAGTTTCTGAAAAATTTGTTATAGCAGTATCATCTTTTCAGCTATATATTTGAAAAAGTGTAACTCCTTGTTTTTTGGTAGTATCAAGAGATTTCAATTTGTTATTATTATTTGAAATATAGATTGGTTCTTTCTCATTATTCTTAATAATAACCACCGTTTCTTGAACAGAATCATTAACATTAAGATGTTCAGCTTCAGGCTTCTTAAATAATATCACTGCTTCTTTTAGATTCTTTGGCCAATCATTAAAAGAGGGGGAATGATATAGTTTTTTATATTTATAAGAGCATTGCATTAGATATTCTGGTCTGATGTTTAGCTTTATATAAAATTTGTAATTTATACTGTAATCAAAAATAATTAATTTAAAAAATTTAATTACCTATATAAATGAAGTTTGCCAAATAAGAACTTGTTTAAAACAATCTTCAAAGGGATAAATATATAATTTAGAACTAAATCAGATTCATAAATGTTGTCAAATAGATTAATCCATAGTCTTATCCTAAAAAATTAACTAATCTTAACTATCATTTATAATTAGCTTTAATAATTGGATACTTGTATTTGAATACATGCCATTATATAAAAATAAATTTGGCCTAACTTTTTTGTTTAAAATTGTGGAGTGACTTTATCTCAATAGAAAGTAGTTCATTACTAAAATTATAATCATTGTATGCTTGATCTACGATAATAATGATATCATCTATTTGTTTTATATCTAGTTGAAAGCAATTGGTTTTCAGCCAATCTAGTAATAATTTTGTATATATTTTCTTCCAAACTGATTCTTCTTTTTCAAAATCAACAATATAATACCAAAAAGAAATATTTAAGAATTTGTTCATAATACTTGAAAAGTTCATTTAGCTTATTAATAAATCATTTGAATTGTCATCCTAATTTTTAGAAAATATAAATATTTTAGTTTAATAATAATAAAATGATTAATTAATATTTAATTTACCTTCTGTAATAAATAGTATTCAAGTATCTCAATTTTTTGTTTTTTCTGAATTGTATTTTTAATTTTCTTAATTTGTTCTACTCCTATGTATTGAATAAAATCAATAATATTTTTTATTTTATTGATTTCTTTGCAATTATTCAAAATCTTTCGTATAATAGTTATATTATTAATTGATAATTCTCCAGTCAACTGGTGCATGATCTTAGTAAAATGTGACTCAGATTACTATATGATGCGAATGTGGCATTCACCCAAAGTAAACTTTTTTTATACTAAGTTAATTATCTTTCTTGCTTAAGAGACTTTTGTAAAGCTTGTCAAGACACATCTAATGGTAGTTATAACATCAAAATCAGCCTGGTGAGTACTGAGATATCTTTAAAAACCTTTCTTTTACTATGTAAATTTCTTTGCAAACAATACTACTACAATACTATTGTTTACAAAGAAATTTATATAGTAAAAGAGAGGTTTTTTAAAGATATCTCAGTACTTACTAGGCTGATTTTGACGCTATAACCACTATTAGATATGTCTTGACAAGCTTTACAAAAATCTCTTAAGCAAGAAAGATAATTAACTAATATAAAAAAAAGTTTACTTTAGGTGAATACCATATTCGCACTATAGTAAATTTATATAGTAATCTGAGTCACATTTTACTAAGATCATGCACCAGTTGACTAGAAAATCATCAATTAATATTGCTCTCTGGTACTATTATAAATAAAATTAGAAACTTAGTTATAATTTTTTTTTATCATATCTTATTAATCAATCATGTAGAATAAATGATTTTACAATTTTTATCTTTTTTATTTAAATATACTATATTTGTTCAAAACTTATATACTTCATAACATATACAAGTATTTTATAAAAAAATAGATATAAGCATTAGTATTGTAATTACAATTAAAAATCATAAGAACAAAGCTAAATACTATAAACAAATATTCATCTATTTGAGGGTTGGGATCCTGTAACTTAGTGGTCTAGGCACCCAACTCTCCACAAGCGGGTTTCTGGTTCAAGTCCTAGTAAGTACATTTATTTATGAATATTTGGAAATATCTGCTATGGGAAGTCCAAGAGAATACAGGTCTGGATTAGAAATTTCCAGAAAGAGGTCCATTGTGGAGTAGTTGGCACTACGTGTAACAGGGGTCATCACAGAAGGTTCTATTATACAAAAAGTTGTGTGTATAAATCCATGATTGGCAAGGTAACACCAACAACCCAAGGCGAAACTGGGAATCTTGTTTGGGAGGATGACTGGATGGTAACTAGAATTAGAAGTGGTGAGAAATGTGGTAAACACAAAGGGACCTGTGATAAAGAATTGGCCTTACCAGATTTAGAACACCTCTGGCATCCGTACTACTACTAGATTGAACAGAATTTCCTTATATAGAGCAAAGTTGGTGGGTAAAAACTTGGGATATGCTTAAAATAGACAAGACACAGTAAGGTCATACCCAACTAGAAGTACTTGTCTGGTCACCGGGTCACGTGAGCTGCCTTAGTTGTATATTCTTTGGCTACTTCAGTAGTATGACTAGGGGAAGATCCTAGGATGAGATCTAGAAAAAGAAACAAGTACGAAACAAAACACAGAAACCCAACTTTAAAATACCAATATATAATACTGGAAGTAGTACAATATGTACTCTGAAAAACTCAGTTGGAAGTTTCAATGCCCATAACCTGTAAGACCCACCAATTAGGGGAGTATCTGTTATCAAGTTCTGCATGCATATTATCAACACTATACATAATAAGGAAGGTTGTGCTTGAGATACGAACTGGGTTACAGCAGTATTACAAATAATAGCTTAAGATACGAACTCAGTAACAGCAGACAACATGTACTACACCAATCTGGAAGTAGCTATGAGATTATGCTTGCCTAGTGCCCCTAGTGGGATCTGTAACAAATACCATACTGAAACCATATTGGGAGTATAAGGTTGTTAGTATGAGAAATATGGAGAATATATTAGGGTTAGAAGAGGATATTTAGTAAGTGGTATACAAAATCCAGGTAATACATAAGTGGGACATAGACAGCTCTGGTAGATATAGATTATAGATAATTAGTCTAAGCCACTGTTCTATTAATTGTTGTATAAATGTATATAATTCATATATGTATATACTTAATAAATAACATGAGGCAAGATCTCACCTTAAAAAAAAAAAAAAAAAAACTTCTACATTGCTATACCAGGCTTTGCCAAAAAAATTTTCTGTTGCTCAAATTATAGACCCATTTTCTAAAATTACAGAGCTATAAATTTTAATATTGTCTATATTTTTTGTTGAATTAAAATATTTTTCTAAATAATATAATAAATATCTAAGCCCAAAATATATATTAGAATTTGGGCTATAATTTTTTAATTTGTTTTCAATTAATTTCTGAGCATCATTATTAAAACCAAATATCCAAATTAAATTAGTAAATTTAAAAAAAATTATGGTTTTAGTATTTTTTGATTTGCCTCTTAATAATTTTAAAGCAACAGCCTGTCATTGAACCTATTCAATATAAATAAAATTAGTTAACTTTTATAAATTATTTTGAATATTATTAAAAAATTTAACAATTAATACCATTTTCAATATTTGATCCTCTATATCTTGTTTATTTGTTAAAAAATATAGAGTTTTTACAAAATCTCTGTATAGACTTTTATAAGTTTCAGTAGAAAATCTATTTAAACAAATATATTTTTTAATTAAATCAGAAGTATTATAGATCCATGAATGCAACTTTGGAAGCTTTAATTCTGAAGTTGAACATGATTTAAAAAGAGGAATAAATTTTTCAGCCCAACTTTTCATAAGATTCTAAATTAAATTAAACATCATTAAAATTCGGCAATAATTTTTACTAATAATTTAAAATATTTAAAATTGATTTGAATTGTTTCGAAATAAATCACAAACCTCAAAATTTACTAAGTCACTTTCAGAGAATTCTTCACTTCAGCTTAAAAGATACATATTATTTCAATTTTAATAAAGCTCTATTAACTTTATATGAATAGTTTTGCTTATATTCAAGTTATCAAAGACAAATATCATAACCTTCATAAGATTACGATAATCATTTGCAGTAAATCCTGCATTTGATTGAATTCTATTTTTAAAAATCTTTAGATCTAAAAATTTTGAAATATTAGCTAATCTATTATTAATTGTTTTCCAAGATAGATACACCATATTTATTTTTTAAAAGACCAGATATAAAAATAATTTGATATTTAAATAATCCCAAATCTAAATGATGCATTCTATCAATTACTGTCACTTTATATATATTTAAATTCCTAAAATTAATTTAAAGTTTAAAGTTTAATAATCTATTGTATAGTAATTTTAATTAATTTGAATTATTTTAAAATATTTTGAAATGTTGCAAACTAAACAACATATATCAATTATCAATTATCGAATCTTAAATTTTGTATTTGAATTCTTAATATATTTAATATATATTAATTATTTTAAAATAATTCGCAACAATTTGAAATATTTAAATGTAAAACTTTTTATAACTTATTCAAAGTTCCAAAAAAAATTTGGCATGGATTCTATACATACTGAATTTTCTTCACTATTATTAAGATAGTTTCGCATATTTTCATAATTTCTAAGCACCAAATCATGTTTAGAACAGTCTGTTTGTACTAATTTTTCTCTTTCTATCAAACAGAAGTGGCAAGGACGATTTGATTGTACTGACTTATAAGTTAAACAAAATGTTGTAGCTTCTAACCAATTTGCAATTATTGTTGAAACTTTTGGAATAAACCAGACTATTTTGTTATTGATTAGCAAATTTATACCAGAATCCTTAAGCCTTTCTAAACATTTATGAAAAGTTTGTCTGTCTATTAGTTTATTTTTATCATTCTTTTTAATTATTAGAAAATAACCTAATAATTGCTTAGTATCCTGCTTATTTCTTCGCCATGTAGGTATATTTTCTAATGATATATAAATTGGATATAACTGAGTTTTACTTAATTTGTCACAATTTGTAGCATCTGAATATAAAATAATTGATAAAATATTTGCTGGCTACAAAGTATTTTGTGTGGTTTTCTACCATATTCCATTATTCTGCTCTTTATAGATAATTACTTTTTTATCTTTCTTTAAAAAAAAAAAAAAAAATTAATAAAAAACAATAATAATTGTATTTATAAATAAAATTAAAAGTAATATATATCTTAGTAGTTTTATATAATTCTTTATATTCAAATTATAAATTTTGAGCTATATCAAGAATATTCAATATATTTTTGATACAG